CCGCCGGGTCACGCGGACAATATCTGAGCAAATTTTCGTCCGCGGTAAACCTCATCCGCGGGGTCACGCGGGTTTTGCAAAAGCCGCGCTGAGCGTACTGTACAGGTCAAATATTTTTTGAGCTATGCATGAACAAATTGAAAATTGCAAATTTATACTAATTCAAGGGCAATAACTCTTAACAAAACGGAAACAAAAATCCACATGCAAAACCCCAGGTCAAAGCTTCACAGATGTTGATCATTTATATAATTCCTATAAAGTTGGTTAATTCTAACTCAAGCACTCAAGGAACAACACAACATAATAGAACAGTTTTTACTAAGTCAAGGGCAATAACTCTAGAAATACTGGATCAATCCACTAGCAAAACCCAAGGTGCACAACTACACATGCTGACCAACATTCCTTTTAAGTTTCTTGACTCTAGGTTAAATACTTTTTGAGTTAAGCACGACACAAATTAAAATTTGCAAATTTTCACTTAGTCAAGGGCAATAAATCTGACAACACAGACTAAATTGTGAGTATAACTTCTATATACATGGTTGGATTTTAATATAACTTAGAACAAAATTTTAATGTTCTCCTTTGTGAGATCAGTTGTTTTGGACAGAATGAAGGTCAAGGTTACAAGAGGTCAAAATTTAAATAAAAATATATAATTTGTTTGTCAGCACTGTATCTTGCTTATGCTTAGTGGTCAGAGCAGTTTTGTCAAACCTGCTTGCTCTGAGCTCGACATAGTTGTCAAAAGGGCTGCTCAGTGTTTGCGTGCATCCAAACTTGTTCATGCCCTAACTACTTTTTGTAGGAATATTCAAATAACATGAATTGAGTATTTTATGCACAAATGTTCATCATGAGACTTCATGTCATGCACATGAACCAGGTCACTGGATCAGAGGTCAAGGTCATCTAAGATGATGCAGTGTCAAGATTTTGCCTTGGGTATAAAGAGGATGTGTTGCGCACTTCTCACTTTCTTGATCTGCAACTTATAGGTTTAGGTTTGAATTAAGACAAGCGTCAGTCTGCAACTACAGATGTCATCTGATTAACCGAAATAATGAATACAATTAAAAATTTAGGTTGGATGAATATTGTTATGTCAACCAAGCTTTGTGCAAAAGTTCAAAAACTTTTTAGCTTAGACCCATCATACTGGGTAGGTGAGGGGTATTAAGTGTTTCACAAACATCTCTAAAAATGTTACACTTTGAATTTTGTCTTGGAATAATCTCTGAACCTACAAGAGGAATCATTTCAACAAGAAACTTAGTAGGTAGATAAATCTCATTGAGTAGAATTGCAGTGCTAAAGAACAGGAACTCTGCCTTGTCTTATTTGGGAGTAATGGCCCTTTTTCATTTTAACACATGAACTTTGTTTAGGACAAAAATTGCAGTGCATAAGAAAAGTAACCCTTCCTTGACTAATTTTGGAATAATTCCCCTTTTTATGTTCCCAAAAAAATTTCAGGCATATTATGTTATACCCCCTGGCGTCTGTCCCTCCGTTCATCCGTCCATTAGCAATTTGGTTTCCGGAGCATTACTTAAGTTCCATTTGGCCCACAATATTCAAACTTCATAGAATAATTGTCCATATTGGTTAGAAGACCCCTATTGATTTTGGGGTCACAAGGTCAAAGGTCAAGGTCACTATTACCTTAAAACTGAAAACAGTTTACAGAGCATAACTTAAGTTCCATTTGGCCCACAGTGTTCAAACTTCACAGGATGATTGTCCATATTGGATAGGAGACCCCTATTGATTTTGGGGTCACAAGGTCAAAGGTCAAGGTCACTATGACCTTAAAACTGAAAACAGTTTCCAGAGCATAACTTAAGTTCAATTTGGACCACAGTGTTCAAACTTCATAAAATGATTGTCCATATTGAGTAGAAGACCCTACTGAAATTGGGGTTAACAAGGTCAAAGGTCAAGGTCACTATTACTTTAAAACTGAAAACAGTTTCTGGAGCATAACCTAAGTTCCATTTGGCCCATAGTGTTCAAACTTCATAGGATGATTGTCCATATTGGGTAAAATACCCCAATAGATTTTGGGGACCACAAGGTCAAAGGTCAAGGTCACTATTATCTTAAAACTGAAAACAGTTTCAGGAGCATAACTTAAGTTCCATCTGGCCCACAGTGTTCAAACTTCATAGGATGATTGTCCATTTTAAATAGAAGACCTCTATTAATTTTGGGGGTCACAAGGTCAAAGGTCAAGGTCACAATAACCTTAAAACTGAGAACAGATTCTGGAGCAAAACTCAAGTTCCATTAAGCCCACAGTGATCAAACTTCATAGGATCAAACTTCATAGGATGATTGTCCATATTGGGTAGGAGACCCCTATTGATTTTTGGATCAGAAGGTTTAAGGTCAAGGTCAATATTATCTTAAAACTGAAAACAGTTTCTGGAGCATAACTTAAGTTCCATTTGGCCCACAGTGTTCAAATTTCATAGGATAATTGTCCATATTGGGTAGAAGACCCTTATTGACTTTGGGGTCACAAGGTCAAAGGTCAAGGTCACAATAACCTTAAAGCTGAAAACAGTTTCCAGAGCATATCTTAAGATCCATTTGACCCACAGTGTTCAAACTTCATAGGATGATTGTCCATATTGAGTAGAAAAGCCCTATTGATTTTGGGGTCACAAGGTCAAAAGTCAAGGTCATTATTACTTTAAAACTGAAAACAGTTTCCAGAGCATAACTTAAGTTCAATTTGGCCCATAATATTCAAACTTCATAGGTTAATTGTCCATATTGGGTAGAAGACCCCTATTGATTTTGGGGGTCACAAAGTCAAAGGTAAAGGTCACTATCACCTTAAAACTGAAAACAGTTTCCGGAGCATAACTTAAGTTGAATTTGGACCACAGTGTTCAAACTTCATAAAATGATTGTCCATATTGAGTAGAAGACCCTATTGATGTGGGGTCACAAGGTCAAAGGTCAAGGTCACTATTACTTTAAAACTGAAAACATTTTCCGGAGCATAACTTAAGTTCCATATTGCCCACAGTGTTCAAACTTCATAGGATGATTGTCCATATTGGGTTGAAGGCCCCAATAGATTTCTGGGTCACAAGATCAAAGGTCAAGGTCACTATTACCTTAAAATTGAAGCACAACTTAAGTTCCATTTGGCCTACAATATTCAAACTTCATAGGAGGATAGCTATTTGAGGAGGTAACACTTTATTTAATTCCCATGTCTTACAAATGCTTCATCCTTACTAAAAAAACAAAAACACTTTCGGCCATATAATGCTCCCCCTAGCGGTGCTCTTGTTTATCTTTACACTGCACTTTGTCTGGGACATAAGTCTGAAACTACAAGAGATATCAACAAGAAACTATTTCTTTCTGTTCAAAACTTATAAGGGAGCATCACTCTCAAAGAAAAAGGGTGGAGTGAATGTAAGGATTCTCTAGTCGGGGTTGGCTACTAGGCGTCAGAATTGGTTAATCTTTTCGTTAAAGGTTCATTTTTTCAGTAACTATAAAATGCTTTCATTTCAAACTTTGTATACATGTTTATTGTCATAAAAGAAAGTCATTTTAAAAGTGTAGATGATCCTAAATTTCTGTAAGCAAAAGTGCACCTTTTTATGCCACCACAATGTGGCAGGCATATAGCGTTGCACTTGTCCGTCCGTCCGTCTGTCCGTCCATACAAACCAGAGCTACATTATGGGGTTTGGTCTATTGTTCTCATAAAAATAGTTTTACTTAAACTTCCAGATAATGAACAACCTTAATGTGTAGATGGTAGTAAAGGAAGGAATGTTTGCTGCGACCAAATTTAACAGAATTATAATGGCCCTTTGTTGATTTTTTCACTATATACCATATAGAAATTTTGTGAACGCAACTCCTCTTAAACTGGATGGCAGATTTTGCTTAAACTTCCAGGGTTGAACAACCTTAATGTGTAGATGGTATTAGTAGTAAAGGAAGAAATTTTTGCTTCGATCAAATTTAACAGAATTATGGCCGTTTGTTGATTTTTTCACTATATACTATGTAGAAATTTTGTGAACGCAACTCCTCTTAAACCAGATGGCAGATTTTGCTTAAACTTCCAGGGATGAACAACCTTAATGTGGAGATGGTAGTAAAGGAAGGAATTTTTGCTGCGACCAAATTTAACAGAATTATGGCCCTTTGTTGATTTTTTCACTATATACCATATATATGTTGTAAGTGGGGGCATCCGTGTCCTTTGAGCACAGTTCTAGTTTTATTTATATTTCACTTGGTAAATCTTTTTGTTCAGGTTGATTTTCTCAGAAATTATCAAAATAATTCATTTCAAGTAATGTCCCCACTCTAGAAGAGGGCATTTAGATTTTCCCAAAATTGTCAGTCCATCTGTGCCTGTGTAGTTGTACACCTGGGGGTTTGCTTATACATACATATATGTTCAGAATTTTCAGAGTGTTTGCCCTTAACATAGTAAAAACCATTTCAGAATGTTGTGACATGATTGTTTACCTCTACAAATGCTTGGGCTAGAATAAAAAAAACTTTACAATAATGTTGTTCAGCAAGTAAAACTGTGCACAAGGGGTTTTGTGTGTGGATTCAACGGTGTCATGCGTAACTCAAAAAGTATTTGACCTGGAGTCCTGAAACTTTACAGGACTGTTGGTTAGCGTGTTGTGCATCTGTGGTTTTGCTTGTTAAGCAAACCTTAGGATATAAAAAATAGATAGGAAATTCTTAATACTTGTATTTGCTAATACTTGGATGTAAAATATAGATAGGAAATTCTTAATACTTGTATTTGCTAATACTTGTATTGTTAAAAAATCAAGATGTCAGCATTAGAAAAATTGGACGTGGTTCTTGTGCTCCAACCACTGGGGGTAGGGGTAGTGGTAGTGTTGTTATAAGAATAATATTGGCCTTTTCTTTTCGAGGCTTTATTTTAGCTATATTTGTTTTCTTAATGTATTAAGTAATTTTTGCAGGTGTTGAGAGTGAAAAAAATAAAGACAAAAATGTTGCTGGAACACACACTTCCTATCTCGTGGAATATCCCTTACAAAACTCTGCAGCTAAACCTAAACAAAAACGAGATACTTCAAAAAATATTGCAAGCGGAAAGTTGACAATTTCAAGTGCATCTTCACCTATAAATTCAAAAGCAAAAAAGAAAAAATCAAGCAAAAATACAAAGTATAAATCCCTGAAGCAAATGAAAGTTGTGATAATGAAAGTGAAGAGACCTATTTTAAAACAAAAAGAGTTTAGAAGGAAGCTGAAAAGGCGTGGTTGGAAATACAGAACCCATTATGGAAGGAAGTTAAAAAGTCACATTGGTAGGACTAGAAAAAAACATGGAGGAAAGTTGGAAAACATTATCAAGATGTTAGCAACACATTATGGAAAAAAATTGAAATCTCAGGGTAGCTTGTATAACATACTCCATGGACAGAAATTCAAAAGTCATAATTGGGTATTAAAAAGTCATCATGGGAAGAAATTGAAAAGCCAGGATCGAATGATGGATAGCCCAAGTTTGATGAAAGATATAGATAAAAACTCTATGAAACAAAAACAAAAAGTGAAACAAATTAAATCAAGAAATAGGAAGAATGAAATTAAACAAAGAAATAAGTTGAAATCAATACAGAAAAGGATGAAAAATATATTATCGGACTTGAAAGCAATAACTCCAAAGCTATATAAGATAAGTGAAAACCATTCCAATAATGTAAATAATGTTAACATTCCTAGCAAAACTCTACATTCAAGAGGACTAAGTAAGTTAAAAAATGTGAATAGAACAGATGATGCTGGTAACATAACTAAACCAAGTGCTTTATTAAGATTGAGGAATGTCAACATGACAGGCATTGTCCCAGCGGGTAATGTGTCAAGTCAGAATTATGTTAAATCTCCAAATGTAATAAGAGCTCATATTGTAGACGAATCAACATCTGGTCTGTCAGGTAATGTTTCATTGCTAATTAATATGTTTCTGCTGATTGCTTGTTTACAGAAGTAGGAACCATATCAACAGCTTATTATTTCAGTTTTTGTCAAGCCCGCTTTTGGTGAGCTCGACTTAGTAGCCACTTTTGGTGTATAGCTTCAGTCCGAACAAACATCCAATGGTCTTTGAGCTTCATTCCATTCATAATCTTAGTTTTAAAAAAGGAGGAAATCCTATAAACCAACTTGTTTATGTGGTAATTTTACTGGTTTATGTGGGAAGTGCCACATAAAGATCCAAGAAAAAGCACATAAACCCCAAATGTTGGCACCTCCATCTGTCCGTGCGTCTGGAATTGTCCGGTCTATATCTTGCTCATTCTTTGAAGGATTACAAAATAATTTGGTACAAATTATCACCATAATGGGGAGGTGTGTCGCACACAAAACCCAGGTCTGCCACTCAAAGGTCAAGGTCACTCTTAGGAGTCAGCAGAAAACCTGTGTCTAGAGCGTAACTTCCACATGCATGGAAGTATTTTAATGTAACTCAGGACAAATGTCCTCCTTAGTGAGGTGGAGTGTCACATCAAAAATTCAGCTGTCTGTGATGAAGGTTAAGGTCACATATAAGCATTAATGGTCAAATAACAAAATAAAACATTCATTTGCAAGAATATAACTTCTATATGCAAAGATGGATTTTAATATACTGTATATCAGGTTTTTTTAGTGAGTATTTAATTTTCACTTTATTTTGTGCAATAAATATCGCAAAAAATAGATTTGCTAAATTTTCGCGAATTTCTTGAACTTTCTTTTCTGCTTTAGATTACAGTTTAAATTTATTTTTATTTCACATGATACATATAAATCAATTTATCAAATACCAAATTTCAATATTCATGTTTGTTTAGAATTGTACCGTCTGTCGTCCGTCTGTCTATGAGTCCCCACTTCATTTGTGTCCAGAATGTTACTTTGTTTTTGAAATAGCTTGGCACAAATGTTAAACACATCAAGACGATGTGTCAAATCCAAGAACCACTACCCTACCTCAAAGGTCAAGGTCATACTTACATTTTGAAGTTCACTTTATCAAATAAGAGTTACACAATTGTGTCCAGGCTGTAACTTTGTCATGTATCAAAGGATTTTACTATTACATTGCATCAATGTCTACCATATCAAGACAATGTGTCACGTCCAAGAATCACGTACCTACTTCAAAGGTCAAGGTCACACTACCATTTTGAAGTTCACTTTGTAACAATTAGAGTTAATAGGCACACACAATCCTGCCCAGGCTGTAACTTTGTCGTGCATCAAAGGATTTTACTATAACATGGCATAAATGTCTACCACATCAAGACAATGTGTCACGTCTAAGAACCATGTACCTACCTCAAAGGTCAAGGTCACACTACCATTTTGAAGATCACTTTGTCACAAGAGTTTATAGATACACACATTGGTGTCTGGACTGTAACTTTGTCTTGCATTGAAGAATTTCAAAATAGCTAAGCATAAATGCCAACCACATTAAGTTGACATGTCGCATTCAAGACCCCTGTCCCTACCTTCAAGGTCAAGGTCACACTTATACAGTCTACTCCACATATAATGAGATCGGTTTTAACGAGGTCCTGCTTACAACATACATTCTACTGTGTCCCAGCCTTTTTCCTTCTTTTTTCCTTTCATTTTTTATCGTTTATAACGAGATTGTTTTAGCGAGATATTGGTTACAACGTACATAATTTCGCCGTCCCATGCGTATTTTTCAGAATTTTAACTTCATTTCAGGTCACTTCATTTGCATTTCGTCTGCATCAGTTTGTCACCTTGAAAAAAACAATGATGACCAATACTAAGGGTCAATTAGGGAAAAAATTATTGACGCGGGATGAGATAATGGGTCGAGCAATTAGCGATCAAATGTGTCAGCCTTGTTTTGTCAGCGCTCCGGGCTAAATTGTCCTTAAGATGACGAAATGTCATAACAAAACAATTTCATTGGGTGATTAGCACAAAGGAAGCGGCTAATTTCTTGCGGTGTTATTCGGTGTTCGTGAGAAATGCACTGCGTGACTTTTGAAAACGAATTTTAAAATGTATATTTTCATAAAACTAGAAATGTGTCATCATGCCACGGATGCCCCCGCATGCAGCCAAAATTTCAGATGTTATAATATTTAGTTCCAAATTTGTTTGCACAAATTATTTTTTTCATTTTAAGTTCAAAGCCCTTAAAACTTTTCAATGTTAACACAAACCATTTTCATACAATGTTCAAGGCACTGAAATTATTCAGTCTAAACCTTTTGAAAATAGCATATTTCATATTTGTAGCCAAAATAATGGTTACATGTAACATTTCAGTGCTGAAACTGAAAGTTCAAAATTTTTCCAACATTCAAGAAAGATAAGTTTGTCCAAAATCATTGAACCACGACCAAATTCAAACTTAAACTGCTTATTCCTAAGATGTATCTATATTATTTTCAAAGTGAATGGGACATAACTCTGCCAAAAAATCATCGAACCATGACCAAATTCCAACTTGACCTGCCCATTCCTTTGACATATCCATATGTCAAATTTGTGTTGAATGTGTTGTACCGTTGGGGAGATAATAAACAGAAACTGAAAATTTCATATTATTTTCAAAGTGAAAGGGGCATTACTCTGCCAAAAATCATTGAACCATGACCAAATTCCAACTTGGCCTGGGCATTCCAAAAAACATATCCATATGTCAAATTTGAGTTGAATGTGTTGTACTGTTGGGGAGATAATAAACAGAAACTGAAAATGTCATATTATTTTCAAAGTAAAAGGGATATAACTCTGCCAAAAATCATTGAACCATGACCAACTTTGAACTTGACCTGGGCATTCCTGTGACATATCCATATGTCAAGTTTGAGTTGAATGTGTTGTACCATTGGGAAGATAATGATCGGAAACTGAAAATTTCATATTATTTTCAAAGTGAAAGGGGCATAACTCTGCCAAAAATCATCGAACCATGACCAAATTCGAACTTGACCTGTATTTTCTCACGACATATCCATATGTCAAATTTGAGTTGAATGTGTTGTACCGTTGGGGAGATAATGAAAGGAAACTGAAAATTTCATATTATTTTCAAAGTAAAAGGGGCATAACTCTGCCAAAAATCATCGAACTATGACCAAATTCGAACTTGACCTGTATTTTCTCATGACATATCCATATGTCAAATTTGAGTTGAATGTGTGCAACCGTTACTAAGATAATGAACGGAAACTGATGATGACGGAATGACAGAATGACGGAAGGACGGAACAGGGTAACACTATATGCCCCGGCCATTACATGGCGGGGGCATAAAAACCCCAAGCGGTTAGATGTAGGTTGTGTTTTCATGTTTTGTTTAAAATTCTATGAAAGCTAGATATATTTATAAACATGCATATTTAAATAAAACAAAAACTTCTGATTGCAAAGAGTTACCTCCCATTATATACTCTTTAAAAAGGATGCATGCGAAAGCTTAAGTAGAAATAAATGATGTTCGACGGTGTGGGATTTCTCAATTTGTTCTGTCCCGGTTATAACAAGACCCGGTTATAACGAGGAATCATCCGAAGTCCCAACGATCTCGTTGTATTTGTAGTGCACTGTAGTTTGAACTCGAAAAGAATTTGAAGATACACATTCATGTCCGGACTGTAACTTTGTCATGCACGGAAGGATTTTAAAATAACTTACCACATCAAGACAATGTGTCATGGCTAAGGCTCTTGTCCGTCTGTCCGTCCCTACATACACAACAATCATGTACAGACTGTAACTTTGTCATGCATTGAGGTATTTAGAAATAACTATGCACATTAATGTCTATTACATGACAATGATGTGTCGCGTCCAAGAACCACGTCCCTTTTCAAAGGTCAAGGTCACACTTATATTCTGAAGGTTCACGCTATCACAGTTAGAGATTATAGGTACACTAATTAATTTTGTGTCCGGACAATAACTTTGTCATACATCGAAGGATTTTAAAATAACTTGGCACAAATGTCTACCACATCAAGATGATGTGTTGTGTGTAAGACTTCCAAGGTCAAGGTCACTCTAATAGTTTGAAGGTACTTATGCTCATAAGAAGAGTTTGAAGGTACACATTAGTTTCCAAACTATAACATTGTCATGCATTGAAGGATTTTAAAATTACTTGGCATAAATGTCTACAATATCAAGATGTTGTGTTGCATCCAAGACCTTTGTCCCAAGGTATAAATAGCACTTCATTTCACAAGAACAATATAAAGCAATTAGTTACTTTCATTCTCTTTTCTTTTCATCATACCTGCATGCTTAAGAAATTTTTTTGGGGGATGTGCCACTTGTGTGACAGCTCTTGTTTGTTAGTGTTTTTTGTGCCCCCACATTAGTGGCGGGCATTTAGATTTACCCTTGTCCGTCCGTCCGTCCATTCTCTTTTGTGTAGCACGTAACTCAAAAAGTATTGACCTAGAGTCATGAAACTTTACAGGAATGTTGATCAGCATGTGAAGTTGTGCACCTGGGTATTTTCGTCTGGATATTTTTAGTATTTTTAGAGTTATTGCCCTTGACTTAGTAAAATTTTGCAATTTTCAACATGTGTCGCATGTTACTCAAAAAGGATTTGACATAGAGTCATAAAACTTTAAAGGAATGTTGATCAGTATGTGTAGTTGTGCACCTGGGTATTTTCGTCTGGATATTTGTAGTATTTTTAGAGTAATTGCCCTTGACTTAGTAAAATTTTGCAATTTTCAACTTGTGTCGCATGTAACTCAAAAAGTATTTGACCTAGAGTCATGATACTTTACATGAATGTTGATCAGCATGTGAAGTTGTGCACCTGGGTATTTTCGTCTGGATATTTGTAGTATTTTTAGAGTTATTGCCCTTGACTTAGTAAAATTTTGCAATTTACAACTTGTGTCGCATGTAACTAAAAAAGGATTTGAAATAGAGTCAT